TATATATATATATATATATATATATATATCCAATAAAAGCTACTCTGTTTGTCCCAATCTAAGTGATGCAGTTCGGATTTCAAGAGTCAAGTTTCTTAATTTTGACTGTGAATTCAGATAAAATTTTTAAGTTTTTTTTTAAATAAAAAATTTACATATTTGGAAACGACATAAAAATATTCTATAAGTCACAATAATTAGCAATTCAAAATATTTAAAAGAATCGCAGTAAAAAAAAAATACATTTGATTCTCGAAATAAGAACTGCATCACATAAATTTTCATCGTGTCAGAATTACAATATCTGACTACTTTTTCACTTTATTAATTAGGTACCAGTTGATATGGTTGTAAATGCTACAATGGCTGCCATTGCCAAGCATGGATATATGCAAAGTCCAGAATTAAATGTCTATCATTTAACATCAATGCCTATGAATCCTTTATCATTCTCTCAACTTTTTGACTATAGTTATGACTTTTTCAGTTCATTTCCTATTATTAACTCAAAAGGAAATGAAGTGGAGATTAGGAGGATGAGATACTTTGACAAAATCTCAGACTTCTCAAATTATATTTGGGAGGATTTATTCATACAACAAAATGGTATCCAAGATTTAACAGAAGAAGAGATTTCACAGTTTCAAAGGCATTTTAAAAGGAAGGTGGAATACCTCAAGCAGTTCAGCAAGTTATATGAACCATACTTATTCTACAAAGGGTGGTATGACATTTTTCTCCTCTTAAATACGTGAAAAGTTTTTGAATTTTATGATTTTAAATATATTATATTATTTCTATTAGGAAGTGTTATTAAGGTAAAATGTGATTGTTGGAATTAAATAGTAGTTGCTAAATATAAAAATACGATATTTTTCTTAAACAAACTCAAAAGAAAAGTAAGACATAAGTTTAACCGGTAATAGTATTAGTAGCAAAAATGGGGAATTTGATAAAAATTTAAGGATCTCTGAAGCCATAACTAAAACTAGCTAGCGATATATATTATGCATAATGAAGAGTTAATTCCTTGGAAAGTCCCCCAACTTTTGAGAATAAACCTACCAATTGTTTTTAGACAATAAAGTCATTCCACTATTATTTTTTGACTCAAAAAATAAAAAATACTTATTTTGCTTACCATATCATATTAAATATGCTTGAGAATTGAGATTGAATATTTATACAATAATAATTATCTGGCCCAATCTCAAGCAACTTTAAATCCGTTATATAAATCTTTATTAATCATGTCGTCATCTAAACTAATCTTAATCAAATGTTATACAACGTAAATTTAACTAGCAATTCTCGACTCTACTCCTAGAAAACATAAGACGTAAGAGTATATATAAACTAACATAACTAAAATTTAATCCCAACTAAATCACCAATATAATCTTTAATTGTGCCTTATTTAGATTCTAAGAGATTGTAGGTCCTTCGTGATAATTTCCTTCCATAAAATTTTACGTCTATCATCATATTCCCTTATAACATCTACTGTTACCATGACTTCACACTTATCCATCGAGTTTGAGTATTTATAAAGTGATTCTTTTTCCTTTTTTTTTTTTTCTCATTTTGTTTTTCAATTTTGCAAGGTTTCACAATGGCAACATGCAAAAACTAAAGGAAGATATGTCAGAAGAAGAGACAAATAGCTTTGAGATTGATATGGGAAAAATAAATTGGAGGGATTACTTCTTAAAAATCCACATTCCTGGTGTACAAGAAAATGTATTGAAAGGCAAAAGATAATCTATTGAAAGGCAAAAGAATACAATGGTTACTTCTTGAAAATCCACATTTCTTCCTTGATTATGAAGCGAAAAAACTGGAGAATTACTATTTTTGAGATTGCATTTATAAAGTTGTATTGGGGTTTTTACAACAAAAGGATATGTCATAAATTAATTTGACATAATTGTGAACGACATAATATGTGACTCCCAAATTCCTGCAAGTGATCATCTGTTGTTTATATTTTAGATCGAGTCAATTCATTTTGTTGTTTAAGTATTGAGCAGAACGCCACACTCCGCCATCTTCATAGTCCCGTCAAACCGTTGGTTTTGATACCAGTTATTGGACTAAAACGACCCAAAGATACTCTTAACATGGTGTGAAACTGTGAATTGTCTGCTTTGGGCCAAGCCCGCACAGTTTAACCCAAAATGCATCACATCATTAAGAGATCCCTACATCTTATATGTAGACTCTCAATCTTTTCAGCTACCAATGTGAGACTTTGTTTGCACACCCAACAATATCCCCCTTAAAATAAGTTTCACATAGCTCACTACCACGATTCACAGGTCTCATCCTCGAACTAAGTTCCATGTGGCCCATTGCCACGATCCAAGGGTCAATTTTCGAGATTCACAATGTGGCATCCACATTGTTAGAGAGTATTATGGCAACCGACGCCGGCAACTAGCTTCTTCTTGTGTGCGCGTTGCCTCGCAGCATCATCACTTTACTATCTCCATACCCGTCCCGCCAAACCTGGACTTTAATACCAGTTGTTAGGCTAAAATGGCCCAAAGATACTCTTAACATGGTGTGACATTGTCCGTTTTGAGCCAAACCCACACGGTTTTTTCCAAAAGGCCTCACAACATTAAGAATATCCAACTCCTTATAAGTAAAATTTTTTTCCTTTTTATTTTTCATGTGGGACTTTGTTCACACACACCCAACATATATGATATATTTTTAGCTTGACGAAGACATGACCTTTTGATAGGAGGGTGTGGAGATCGAGAATTACGATAGTAGATTGGACAGTTGTTAGGCGTAATTCTTTTTTGTATCTATATTGCTTTTCTATACCTGTAGCACTAGTGTATTCTTGTATTTCTATTTCGTAAACATCTGATACTATTGATGTTTCTTTCGCTAATTTTTTTTTTTTT